GTTGCAAGCTGTCGTTCAACTCGGACAGAAGCTGAATTTGTTTTCGGCGTGAATATCACTGAAATATCTTTTCAAAATCAACAATCAATCTTGTCGACAGTGATGCTCATCCGCTGTCTGTTTTCTATTCATTTTCTGCTTGAAGAGCTCGCTTTAGTTCCGCTGTTGACTCGAGAGCTTGTCTTTCTCACCGTTGGACTCGTTTCTCGCCAGAGAGTAGTTTCTGCAGAGATTTTCCTCAATGTCCACCAGGCTTACAAAATTTACAGAAATGAGTACCAGAATGAAAGATTCTTTTCATTGACTATGTCCATGCTACATCGAAAGTAAATACGGGATAGCGCCATTTACTTGACTCGTCTACTGATCAGCTGAGTCCCAGCCATGTGGAAATGTGAAGTTTTCTTTTGTCCGATGAAGAGCATGATCACTGTGATCTCTAATCGATCGATGGTAACCTGTGCCTGACGAGTGCATTCAGAAATAGCTTACAAAAGGAAATGAAAGGGTGAAAAACCAAGTCCATAAGAGTTAGTACTTAAGTATAAGAATGTTGTTCTACATCGGGGCAACCATAACAGTAGACTAATGTAAGCCTACTTGCGAAGACGGAACCTTTTCTTGTTTCGTCGCACAGCCACATCTTTATTGGCAAAATGAAAATCTATGGCTCCAAAGAGAACTAGAGGATGAACAGTTAATGCTCTCAGCGTTATTTAGTCTCTGAAGGATTCGCCATGCATTCTAATTTATTAAGCATCTTCTGAGGTAAATCAAATACAAATCTGTAACTCCCGGTGGCCTACCAATGTATCAAGCCAGTCTCCTAAGCTTCCAGGCAAGTCTGTTAGCAGTTCGCCAAACCCGGAGAGGTGAAAGAGTTGGTGAGCCTTGAGCGGTAGTTCGAACATTGACCACGTGTACGCTGCAGGGTATCTTAAGCTTATTTGCCACATGAGCCTCTCATAAACAAATGTAGGAAAATTTGAGGTGACCCAGCGATTAACAGATGAAACATGCATTAACCATAACCAATTTGCACGCACATGAGTTTGATACAAGGGGCAAGCCGGATTGGGCCTAACTCATCACTGCGTCTACTGCATGTCACACGACAGACTCATAAAGACCGCTGTTTTCGCAAAAAAATAACGCAAAACTTCTGCGGACAAGAAGTTTTCATGAAGAATGTTGACAGCCATTCCAAAGCTGAGATGTCATCGCACACGTGGTCTTTGGTTCGATTCATATTACTGACCCACAACCATTCATCTCTCCGGGTTCGGCGAAGTGAAACCAAACTTTGCATCTAAGAGGTCAACATCATTTGACCAATGTTTTAGTGAGCCACGGCGCTTCATAGTAAAGACAGTCATGCATTCAGTCACTTCAAACGAAGCTAAAAATTGAATGCTAATGCATGGGACACTTCTCAATGAATTGATCAACGCTGAGAGCATTATTCTTTCTGCTTTTTATGGACCGTTTTGATAGCTGCCATTCCGGCAATTTTGTCTTCTTCAGAGCGTTGAAGGGTCAAGTTGAATCTCAATCTAGTCAGACAAGCACTTGCAAAGCTATTCTAGATATTACTTGATACGCAAACGTTAATTTTTATAGTAATCAGAATCTTCTAAGTGCTCACCGTTTTGTTGCAGACACCTACCGACACTAGATGTAGCTAATGCAACAAATATTCTTGTTAAAAATGGCTCTAACAGTATCTACATAACGTGCGAAGTAATTTTCATGAGTGCATGTAGTACTGAAGCGTGTACTTGCAAAAAAACGAGAGTTGTAGCGATTGTAAATTCGACCTGAAGTGCATTAGCTTTTATTGCCCGAGATCGTGAAGTGAGCAAATAGTATATCCCCTTGCGGACGGCGCCATTTTTGGCTCGGACGGCTACAAGGAGAGGCAGCCGGCACCTGCTCCAAGACTAATGCTGCAGTTTTACAATGATTCGTTGTTAAGAAATGAGATTTCTGGGCCAGTAAATAGTCAAATATGATAGAACAGATTTCAATAATGTTATTTTTGCTAGAAATAGCGTAACTGCTCTATTCCTAATTCACAGTTCCAAAGGAAAAATTAAGTATCCATGAAAAGGCTTCATTTAGAAGCTTTATCGAACATTTATACAATATTTAATTTATACTTATCCACAACTGAGTCAAATTTCTTTCAATTTTCATTACTTTATTGCATAAAATGCATATAATTTATCATCTTGGCTGAAAACCAGAAAACAATGGATAGTTCATCAAAAATAGTGCTGTTTATTACGTTCGATCCCTCTTGATCGAAAATGCTCTATATTTTTTTGATTACAAGTGCACATCAGATTCCTATTCCTTGGCACAGTGTCTAATTATGTTCGAATTCTTTATTCATAGCTATGGTATGCGAAGAAGAAATGGAGGTAAAGCTGCTCTTTTCCACTATCTCCACCATATCTGAGCCCTTTGGTAGAAACGTACTTATAACTTTTGTCAGACGTCTTTCTGGTCATTCTCTAAAATCAAGTGGATTTGGACGATGTGTTCTATTCCATAGAAAGCCTCTTTTTCTTCGCTGTAACAGTGGAAAAAAATTTTGTATCACATGCGAGCATCTCTCTCCAAGTAAAGATTTTTTCTTAAGCAATTAACAACCTATAGATAGGACAAATCAAAAAATCTAACTTCGCATCTAGTTTTTCAGCAAGACTTTTCGAAGTGCTGTAAGTCAAGAGCTGATTTGGTTTCAAAAATATGGGCCATTTTTGATGTCCACATTTCATTTTGACTGGCCTCTAGCAAAAAACGAGTTTTACGACTTTTTCGGAGTTATAATAGCCACTCGATAATTGATACCTCGGAAAATTTGATGGTATACTCCAATTCTGAGATTGCCTCCTTAATGCTCCTTAATGCGTTCTAATAGTAAAAATTGAAATATCTTTCACACTCAAACAATTCCCACTTAAGTTAGCTTTTTCGCCAGACTTTTGAAAATTCTTCGATTACTTTAATATCGACATTTTTCATAATAATTTTGTCTTTGAAAGGATCTCCTTAATGTACTGTAACAGTCAAAAGAAAATTACTTTTCGCAGTTAGTTGATGCGTTGACAAAGACACAGCGACTAAGGGTTGATGTCGCTATGATAATTCAGGCATGCCATGTGGGCACACATTGGTCAATGTCTACCTCGTTTACAGAACTTTTTTTGGTCAAAACTATACCTGTTATTCACATTTTTTGTCGTAAATGTAGCCTGTAAGAAAAAATCGAAAAGATGCAAAGTGGGCGAAGTCCGCGCTACAAACACTGCAATTTGTATACAAAGATTGTTGATAATCATACGAAGCTCTATAAGAACAACGCTGTCAGAGTTGATCAATCTTTCAGGGTTGCGTCGTCTCTTATCCTCAATTTATAACTTCGTTTGAAGTGAATAAACACATTTATCAGGGCCTTCGCAGTGACTCGCGGTGGCCTTCCGCTGCATCAAGTCAGTGCTGCTTGTTCTCCGTAGACAAGTCTGAGACCAGTCTGGCACCAATTAATCGGCTCAGGAGTGATGGATATCTTGGTGAACCATGAGCGCAAGATCGAACCTTCGACCTTGCATGTGGCGCAGAGCACCTTTAGCTACTGTGCCACATGTGTTTGCTGGCGAAAATATGGTGTTTAAAATGCATCTATATGCATAATTACATCTCTAATATAAATTTTCTAGTAAGAGTGCTTTCATAACTCCGTCTATAGCTGAAAGGGTTAGTGGCTGTTCTGTTTAGACGCTTTGAACCGCACTGCTAAATGAGTACTTTGTAAATGCACAGTTCTTCAGGTTAAAATAGATAGCTAGGAAGAATATGAGGCGTGAAGACGGTAGTTTCAGCTACTCTCCCACCTTAATCACTTTTTTCTATAAACGTCACTTGTCGCAACATGGCTGACAAGTCGTAGTTACATGCGCGCCTAATTGCCGATGGGTCCTGCCGCCACGTTTATGAATCGATATTTGAAGACGCGCCGCCATCCATGGGCATTGTTGGCGGCCGCAGTATCGAAAAGCCCACGTCACTCCCTGCCCACTGCGCCTTCTGGTAAGTAATTCTTTTTAATAAATATTGTCGACTTATGCGCAGTCATGCGGTTGAGATTTCTGGAGATTGCTTGGCTGCTGTCTTATTGTTGTAAGTGTTCTATTTTTTATAATTCCCGAACATGAATATTTTCCTCCTTGAATCTTTTTTTTTGCTTTCGATTAGTTGTCTGTATTTTGCATGAAACTCCTCTATTTTTTATTCATTCATGCAGAGAATCAACATGTTTCTTATTAGTTTCTTGAGATCATAGCTGTAAGGTTTTAAAGGCATTTTTTGAAAGAAAAGATAATCTTTATTCCTTTTTTGTTAGGCTGATGTATTGAATTTTGTATACATAAGCCGAAGAGTCCATAAAGTCACTTTTCTTGTATGGGTTTAACATGCAAAAAAATGATTGGCAAACAAGTGCCAACAAATAGTGGTGACAAAGGAGGCGTCGATGGTGCAACGGGTTAGAGCACGCCTCCCCTGATAGGGTGGATGGAACGTGGATTCGACTCCCAGCTGACGCAAGAGTTTTGCACATCATTCTACATCATTGGGATACTAATAACATGATACCACCTCTAAAAGCGGTTAACAGAAAAATTTCTGCTTGATCTTCCAAAAAAAATCTTTAGTTTCAGCTTTAAATACAAAAAAGTAGATGTAAATGAGACCCCATGACTGTGTTTTGTTTTCATTGCGTGTTGCGAGGAATCTCTACTTGTGCTGAAATGTTCCCCAACTGTATTGCTCAACCAAACATAGATAGTTTCGATTCTTCTCACAATTTATGGTGGTGGTTCGTTCCCAAAAAGAAGTTGATGCAATCGATCTAAAATTTCTAGTATTTTACTCCATTTTTTGCAGTTTTATGATGCTTCATATATGCTTAAGAAAACTGAGTGGTGAGCAGAAGACACCCCCAGACGGGAATCGAACCCGCGTTCCATCCATACCTAGGACGCGTGCTGTCACCACACTACCGAGGCATATTAGCGCCACCACTTAATTTGAAACATCTCTGTGATAGCTGTCAGCCATCAGCCTTTAGCAGGTTTGGTTGCTATGCGATTTCGCTTTAGAAACCCAGCTGAGCTGACAGCCAGTGATGGTGCGAATGTAACTCTGTGGTGTAGTGGTAACACGCTTCTCCGGTATATATGTAGAGCGGGTTCGATTCCCGTCTGAGATGGTATTTTGCTCATTACTCAGTTCTCTTAGGTATATATGAAACATCATGACACTGCGAAAGATGCAATAAAAATGATAGAAATTTCGAGTATTAGTTTTTCCAACGGTTGTCCACTCAACTGAGTTTATACAGCGAAGTTGCATACACGACCATACCAATTAAAGGTTTGTGGCTGACAGCTATCATAGAGATGTTGAAGAATGAGTGGTAGTGCGAATGTAGCTCGATAGTGTAGTGGAATCACGCGTTCCCGATATGGATGAAACGTAGGCTCGACTCACCTCCGAGGTCGTATTTTTGCATTCGCTCTGTATAAATGTGATATATTTTGAATGGCTGTGAGATTTTGAAGTGATAAAATGTGTTTGCGCTCATGAGAAGATCCCACCATTGTCATTTGCCTGCGTTTTTCATCCCATAGTCTTTTCATTTCTTCTCACTTGTTTTCTTAATCACCGAGAGTCTCTTCGTAGGAGTTTTCCCGTCTAACTTGATAGCGGTGTCCTGTTGTCGCAATTCATATTTCAACTTTTGGAGCAAGGCATTTTCCTTTTCAAACTTTCAGTAATCATCCGATAGCTCAGATGTCAGTCACTCCAATACTGTGTTTATTTCCTAAATGAGAGGTTTTGTTACCAGCAAAAACAAAATTGAGTCTAACACTCGGCGCAAGCTATCACGCGTTGTTTCGTTATCTATTCAAAATCCTTTTCTTCGTTCCATAGAAATATCCAGATTTTCCACAATGTTCTTAGAAATATTGAACAAACCTTGTTCTGTCATTCTACGTGCCTAGGTTTTGATTTTCATTTTAATGGGTGCTGATTATTATCTTCGCTCTTCGGCACCTTTGTCATATGAATTGTTGTTTATTCAGAAAAGTCAATTAATCATCAGATATGATAACCATCATGGTCAATGATTTTTACTGGGCAGTGAATAAATGTCTTCCCCTTCGATATATTGGGGCTGGCAGTCAAAGAAGTCGGCGTGGTCACTGCTGAGCCGATTGTAGTCTTTACATCTTTTCTCCCTTAGATGCCGCTTCGGATGCAGAAGAGATAATTTTTTATGGAGCAATATTAGATCTATATGGTCGATGTGGCACCGTAGAGCAGCGCAGCTTTTTCGAAATGTAGCGACTCGACAGCTATGCGACCGCATTTTCCAACATACATTTCTTCTCCACGCAGCGTGAAATGGGTGGAGTCAACTTGTCTCAGTTTGGCCCAGTACTTCGAAGCTTATCCATTTTGTTTGCATTGATAGAACTTTTATAGAAAATTCCCTATGCAAGTGCACGTACGTTATGGGTGCAGATTGCTACTTTTTCCTTTCGATTTTGGCGACCCAGTTCGTTTCTGAGATTTTAGCAGCCCTTTCGTGCTCGTCCTAGCCGACCCATGCCACATAGGTGACTCTTTCGGGGTCACGAAAGTGAGACCGCTTTCATTATTGTTTTTAAAATTTTATACATATTATATAGCTTGCTGAGCTCTGACCGTGGAGTATTCGCGTGTAGCTTGTCAATCTCTCCCAAAACGACAGGTGGAGCTCATTTCTTGATGGTATTTTCTAGCTGCTTCCCGTATAATTCCCGTCAACTTGATTCCAGGCTTTTGGCCATTCTGATTTGAAAAGAAAAGGTTTGTCAAATTCGCGTTCACGAATCATATGGAAGAAATCTCATCTAGAGCAAAAACTGGTAAACCTTTAGTAGTAAATTTCGGAGGTTATTGAGGTTTATTAGTACTATTTGATCAAATTATCGATGTTTGGCTTTTTCCTGTATTGCCAGCTGTATGGAAATTGGATTCCTTCTGAACATTTCGGTACTTTCTCAGCGTTAGTAAGTGTTGCTTTTCTAACCAATGAAGTCACCGTAGAGAAAAGGTAATGATTATACCCGTAGAAACTAGACGAGTGAAAAACACAATGCTTCGTTTATAATTATTCTAGTCACTTTCCCATATGTTTACCAGTTAATAAGGGACGCCTATCTTCCATGGCTTTTGAACCAAAAGTTAGGAAACAGGTATATGAAAAATTTATAAGAAGTTATTCTGAAAAGATTCACAAAAATCTTGCTAACTCATGAAACCATGCATGCTTTACAAGGTCAAGCCAGCTCTATCGGAGAAACTTCAAGACCACCACGGTTGCTTATCACCAAAAATGCTTAACCCGTCTGAGACGGCAATAAAAATTTCTTCATGCAGCTCTAATCGCAACGCGAGCGCAATTTTTTATTATCTAAGTAGCATATCTTTTCTTTTTCAGTCACTAAAAAATCTTTTGCGTTTTTCGTTTTGCTCTGGGAAATCACGGCATACTCTACAAACTCATGTGATTTTAATGCATGTATAGCTCTTTATGAGTGAGCAGGGCGCTAGCTTAGTAAGCAATCACACTGTTTTTGAAATTCACTCAGTTTTCGTAAATTCTACAAAACATATTGCGATATTTATTTTGGGGGTCTGAGTAGTTATCACATACAATATCCAAAAGTTATCGCAGCTAATGCAAATGAGAAAACAATAGAGAATACGATACCAGTTCATCGAAAACTTTCCATAATTCAAATTAGTTTGCTTCAGGAACTGAGATTTGTATAGAGTTTTAATTTTCTATGGTTCTGACACTTTATTTTCTTCATATAATCACTTACGCCTACTACAAGCATTATTCATCATTACAGCTTTTGCCACTGCACATGCTACTCATTTTGTTTGTTCGACGCATTTTATAGTCTATTACACTCACAATTCCATTTGAATCCCTCAAGATCCAGCCAATCAAAATAATATGATTTGACCACGTGGAGGTATTCTAGCCGTCTATCAGTAAAACACAGACCTCGTCTGCTCTGCCTTCCACGCTGACGGGTATGTGGCTAAGTAGTCTTAATGTGGAAGGAGACTGCTTCGATTATAGTATTTCTTTATTTGAGCTTAATAGGTGTACAGATAGATTTTTTTCTATGCGTTTTGATAATAGGACACAACTTTTTTGCAACCTATTATATTGATATAGCTCCCTTAAAGCAGTGAATGAAATCCGTTTCAAAAACCGAGAAATCTTCTAAATTCCAACTAATTATGTTGCTGAAAAGCCATTTTTGCTTCAACTGCTCCAAATCATAATACAAAAACATTGTTTTTTTCAACAAAATGAAGGATGATCTGGTAAGACCCTCTAATAGTATCCTAGCTTTATCCCGAAAATAATTGGTGTGCACTCAGATAAGGAAGAAATGTGAGTAAAATTCTCATGTCTCATAATCCTGAAGCTGTCATCAATTCATTCCACTTATTACACCGAAAAGGTTCTAATAAAATAAGAGAATAAAGCTGGCAAGTTTTCTTCACATCCCCCAAGTCCTATACTAGTGAAATAACTTTGATGTAATCTCGAGCAGGTGTTTGTGGCTTCCATCAGTAAAACACAGACTCTGTCTGTCCTGCCTTGCATGAGTATCCTTCTCCACGTTCAATGCTTGCATGCATATACTTTGCTGAGTTTCACGAAATATTTATGGTTTATATACGAAATGGCATTGCGCAAAATCTCTGTGCAAAAAGCTACAAGCGCAGCCAGAACAACCGCTAAGTACTACATATTTTTCATTTGTTCGTTGTTGGTTCTCAACATCGGTTTTCTTCGGAGATATTCCTTCTCGAAGTGGTCAACTGACGAAATTGCGAATCATTTTGACCTTTCCGAGCTTTGATGAAAAGAGACCTTTAAAACCCTCTGGCCATTAGTGTATTTTATTGTGCCCAATCACATCAGGAGGACAATGATAGAGGGTTATCGGTAAATGATCGTAAAAGGTGTCGTTACCCAGAATCTTGCCCTACTCTTTGGTGACACGGAAAGGTGTGCAAGAAGAACGAAATACCTAGGCAAAAGAAACTAGTCGACTTCTGTATACTTTGCATGTCCAATATCTAGAGGCTGATTGTAGAACGGTTCCGCCGTGGCCGAGTGGTTGTGATGCTCTCTGAAGCGCGCGCGCGGAGACGAACCCACTACCAACATTCTCCGGCGGCAACAACGAATACCCTAATGTTACAGTCAGGCTATCTTAGAGACTGCTAGAAGACGCGCCTTGCTAGTATTGTACAATGTTCAAGAAGAAAACGAAGAGACAAACTGAATGCTATTAGTGCTGTTATGCGTGAAGTGAAAAAAAAAACTGGCGGTGACGTCAGATCATTAAAGTGTCAAAAAGTTATCGTAGAACAGATAAATCTATGGCGATCAGAATAATGATCACTATAAAGAAGACTCCCAACTTTTGCAAGATAAGCGGCAAGAATGCTCTTTAAGAGTAGTTTACTGATCACTCTTCTCCAATGTCTAATGTTGCTCTTATAGTGGAAAAACAGATTGTTAGGATGCATAAAAGTTCTTCACCAAAAATTGCTCCGGGAATGTCATTTTAGCGATATTTTTTTTATATGAAGCTAATGCGCCTTTAACATTAGACTTTGCTATGTAACTGCCAACAAAACCCGTCCAAGCAGCGCACTTGCCTGCCTCAAAAATAAGGCGTACATTTTTCCTCGTTGGTACTTCGCACTAAGAAGGTCTTTTATATTACCACGCCTGGTACCAAAATTTCCATTTTCCAAGCTATCGAGAGATTACTGATAATTCAATGGAAGAGCCAGAAAGTACAACTTTCTGATTGTATAAATAAAAAATCCATCGCAGCAATGGTCAGATGTTGATTGATAATTGGTACTGATTGTATAAACTTTTGATTATTGAATAGTTTGAGTAGAAAATCTGTAACATCAGTGAGAAATTTTAAAAATCTGAAGGTGAAGAAGTGGCACTATATTTGAAAAGGCACTCCGCAAAATCAATGCTAACTTTATCAAAGCTTTCTCCGACTAAATATTGAAAAATCCTCAGTGCAAGTACCCTATGAAGTTTAGAGATTGTGAAAATGTGTTTTTGACTTAGATTGCTAAAATTTCGCAGAGAAATGT